TGATCTTGAACTCTTAAGAAAACTGAATTAAATATTCATGTCATGCACCAGTCACAAATAAACAGACTTCCTACAATACAAGCAGATACTACTGAGCCATTTTTTTTCAGAGGAAGATTTGAAGCCTCTGATCAAACCATATCTTTTGAGTAAGTAAAAGATCGATCTCAACTAACTTTAAACCGCACAAAATCAGAACAATGGGATTTTTCAAATTGTGTTGCCCAAAAATCTTTTTTTAGAAAGGGTTGTGGTTTAATAGCACTTACAACCTAGAGTATTTCTTGACATCTTAGAGCTAAACAGGCTTGGGAGTGGGGTGTCACAGTGATGCAGGAGTTGCAAAAGAGTTGCTTGCTTTTAGTATATTGAACCTTCTTGAAACTAAGAATTAAAGTCGATTAATTATTTTTTTTAATTGTCAGTCATGAATCAGCCCTAGCAAAACTGTACCATACATCCTTCAAAATAAATTCTTCCTCAAAAATAAAAAAAAAAAAGGAAGAGCAACATGTCTCAGATATTTAATGCCTGTTACAAGTTTGCTTATGTAAAACCCCTCTTTCCAGCCATACAAAAAAAAAAAAAAAAAAAAAAAAAAGACACCCTCATATATTATCTAGCAGTTTGCATCCTTCTGAGTTACAAACCCTGTTTTGGATACCTTCTGTTTTCAGTGACATGGGCTTTAGTGCCACTCAGTGTTCAAATCACACAACTGCAGGGAGCTGCTGTAGCAGAGCACTGTGTTATGTAGTGGAATGGTATTTGTTGATTCGTGTCAAAATAGGTGAATTTTAGAAAAGAGGACGATATTGATCCTTTATTTGATCTCATCTTCAGCCTTAATGATTCTCTTCTGGTCAAGTCACAATGGGGTTTTCAGAGAGACTGGATGAACAGCATAAAATGATGCACAAACTGGTAAACTGTCATAGCCATAAGAAGTAAGGAAATCTAGAGCAGAGAGGAAGGGACAGGGAAATAAGTTTTCAAGATAAATACAAACCAAAGTCAGAGGGAACAAAAAGAGATGCTGAGCAAATACATGCAAGTGAGAAAAGAACAAAGTGAATGCAAAGAAAATGAGACAAAGAAGTAAGGGCAAACAATTAGAAGTCAAGTAAATTATAACTAACGGTTGGCTCATGTGGGCAAATATTCACCTTCAGTGAAATGCAAGATCTTGAATTCAGAGACATTACAGCCTAAGGCAATTCCATATACTATATTCCTTTAGTGTCCCTTTTTCTCCTTCCTAATTCTTAGTAATTATTCCTGTTAATTTTGTTTCTTTTTTGATTATTGTTGTTTTTAACCTAGTAATTCCCTCAGAGAATACACTTTCTGAAGCACTTTGCCAAAATAAGGGTTCTGCTATCTGTGTCCTTTATAAATCAAAAGCAATCAACCCACAGAGAAAATATATAATCTTAACAAATTATCAGTTCTACTGACAGTAATTCCCATAAACAGAAATATCTTCCAAGAGCTTTATGTAATATGAATAGGAGTTATAATCAGAGCAAACAAGATATCCCCCCAGGCCAATAAGCACCGCAGAATTAAAAAATACAAATGGAAATAAAAATCAAGTAGGAGATGCCATTTACTTTGGAATAAAAGGTTATTTGCCCAACCAGAATATGATGAAGCTAAACAATATACTGAGAATCAAGCAGGCCAACAAGATCATAAAATACCAGAGTGATCACAGTCTGCACAGGATGCTGTGACTGTCCCTAGTTGGACGCTGTCGCTCCCTGCCTTGTCTGACAAACACTAATTCTGATAAGCCGATGAACACCAAAGGGCTGTATCGTGACAACTGTTATTTAAAATATGTCAAGATATCATTATCACGTGCAACAGCTAGCACATAACATTACAATAAAGACGCTTCCTTCAGCAGATAAGCCCTCAAAAAAATACCCGTCTCAGAAACAGAGAAGAGCACTGAGAGTCCCTGGGGCTGGCCTCAGGACAACGCGTGGCTAACACAGGAGGCAGGTTGCTGCAGCACGGCGTCACAAAAGGGGGCTGCAGGAACACAAACTGTTTGGGGCTTGTATTTTCTGTTCTGCCTGAATTTATGTAAAATCGCTAATGAATAGAAGTTAATTAGCTACACTTAAGACTGATATACAACCACAGCCAAAGGGAATAAACAGGTTCACCAGCTGCTGTATTACTCTAACTACACTGTAAATTGCTGCATGCTATTAACATGCTCTCCTGGCTTCAGTAAAGAAAATCTTATTGAAATCAGTAGCACACATTTCCTATTTCAGTGAGACATTGCAAAATTAAAATGATATGTAGTAAAAACAATATGTGTGAGCCACCTGCTTACTGTATGATAGAATAGATTGGCATAGAATGACAGCTGCTGCACAGCCAACATTTCAGATACTGTACTACCTTGCCAACTGGACTTAAATTCACACATGATTTCCTTGACTAGCACTGAATGAATTTTTGCTGCTATAAATATGCATTGGCAATTGTGATGAATCATCCTGGATACTAAGGGTCACTGTTATTTCCAACCCATAAGAACTGTATCCAGTGCAAAAAGCCACCAGAGCAAGTACTGGTGAGTTAGCACTGTTTGGATGACCTACATGTAAAGGACATGCCTTGACCCACAATAAAGAATGACAATAATGAAGATAGCAGCTGCAGAGCTTGCTGGATACTCACAGCACAAAACACTACAAAATCTTAATACCAAGGAATTAATTAAGCATTGTGTGCCTCCTCACACTAGCCTGGAGTCTGGAAGAGTTATCATGGCCAAAAGCTTAGAGCATGAGTTAGGCACCTAGAGCCAGATTCAAGTAGCCTGAACTTCACTAAGTTCTTACACCCGTCCTAGGCCTATTCTTCATTTACATTTAGCTTTTAATCAGACAGCTCGAGGCAGGTCACTGCTCTGCCCTTTACTTGATCTTTCTGAGTCCCCTCTCCAGGCTCAGGCAGTTTTCTGCACTGCTCAGTTACAGGGTTCAGTGAAATGCCAGCTATGTGATACTGTTTCTAATTCCCATCGATTTCAATCAAAGCTATGTGTCTAATTATGCTTGCAGATCTATTCTTGCTGTTTTTCTATTGAGAGGGGATGCCTAGAAACAGTAAATGTTTTACCTAACTTTCTATGCTAACAGCTTATGTCTAAAGTCAGTGCTGACAGGAGCTCTAACAAGAAATCACTGCTTTAGATTTCCCTGATAATAAAATACCCTTTGCATATGTAACAATAAATAGTCGAGGTCTGCAGCTGGAAATAACCTTGTAAGGATGACCACAATTTACAGTTCGCAAGCAACAATACTGAAGTGTTCATAAAAGGGCAGGTTTGGGGTAAAATCAGTAATCTATTTTAACCAATTCAAATGCCAATATCCCATCTGCTAAGTCTCTTTATTTTATATCAGTCTGCCATTTTCTCTTAGTGGTAGCATCAATAAACATTGTTGGTAATCATCTGCTTGTGCTCTAATGTGGCATATTCAGTTTCATTGAATAAAGCCAGGCTGAAGATCCCTGAAGAAAAAAATGTGACTTGTTTAGCTGTGATTCAGATCCATGTCTCTGGTTTAAGAATGACTCAAAGTTGCATCATCACCAAACCTGAACACAAATAGTTTTGCTTTGTTTTTTTTGTTGTTGTTGTTTTTTTTGTTTGTTTGTTTTTTTTTTTAAATCATATACAGAGCTAAATGCTAATAGCAGCAATGTCTTATTTATTCAAAAGAAAATTTTAATTTCACTTTTTTTTTTTTTTGCTCATTTTGCCAAGTGCAGTGGAACATCTCAAAATAGCCATTGATTTGAGGTGTTCACTGAACACAATATTTGTATCTGATGATGTTTAACAGGACTCCAGCTGGAGAATACTACTTCAGTTTAAGAAAATGTTTGTTTTGCTTTTTCTCCGTTCAGACAGATTTGGAACTCACAGATATGAAAGGCTCAGTAACATAGCTTGAACTCCTGCTTCCCTTAACCAGCATTTACCATAAAATTCTCAACTACAGATGCACAATCACAGTCTGCCATCAAGACAATATAAAACACACTATGACAAAGGAAACATTTGTTTCTGTAGCATTCTAAAACTACAGTTACAATGATATAACTAAGCACAGCAAACAATAGTTAAAACATGACCTGATGATTTTGCCATCATGATCACATCAAAGCCTCACAGCTCTTAAGTTCCCATCAAGTATCCAGGGCTTCTGAGAGGGACCAAAGCCACAATCAACTCATGCCCTTCAGCCTTAAGAGGTCTATCAGCGAGGCAGGGAGGAAATCAGGATCTAAAGCCTTCCAGTTGTGAGATCAACCTGATACAGAGGTTACCAGAAACATGGAAGCTGGGAATAAGGTGGGAATACCAGGCTGGCAAGGAGCCATCTAGGAACTGGGAAACTTTTTGGCTTTTCTTACTTCTTCAGTCAAACTACCTCCATTACGACTGCAATTTTCAACAAATCTGCCTTCTCTGATATGAAAATGTTCCATTACAGGTTACTGTCCAGACTTGTTAGGACTGGAAATTCATCTCATGGGTCACCAGCCCCTGAACAGCCTCATGCTCCCAGAGTTCCTCTACATGCAGAGGTGGAAGACACATCGCTCAACACCACCGAGGACCAGGTGCTTCACGGCATCTAGAGCAGGCTGTCACAGAGCATGATTTAGGCTAATCTATGAAAATGTATAAACAGAAAATTCCCATATCTCTCAGTGAGTAGTGGGCCCTGGCACTGTAATGGAAATCATTGCACTTCATAATGGCATATCCTTTTACATGAGATATAAAACCACGCATGTTTGGTGTTTCTGTTTTTGACTGACTGACCTTGAGTTTCAGGAGGACCCAGTAGCTTCCCCTAGCAGAGATGAGAAATTTCTTTTGGGAGGTGTCATGTAAAACAATTCTCTCAGAGAAGAAGTTTGGCTTTTAATGAAAACCGTTATGTTAACAGCACTGTTCTCCCAGGTGACCAGACCCCACATCTCAAAGGAAAGACTACAAAAATACAAGTCCACTAAGATTACAAATTATATTCTTGTATACTTGATTCATCTGTATAGTCACTGATGTCCAAAAATATATGACCACAGCACAGAGCTGCTGTTAAGGTATCAAAATCACCTAACAAGTCTATTGCATTTATTCTTCAAATATATATATATTTGTAATTTTTATATTTTGAAAGATGCTTAAATTTTAGACAATAGCACACACAAACAGTAAAACAAGTGGATCACTGGGAAAAAGGTAAATAACAGATATTTTGAAGTGACAATGTTCAAATACTACTGAAATGTAATTGATTGTGTAGGCACAGCCTGACACTGTGGAGCACACAGATTACTTGAGTAAGGGCACTGGCAGGACCACTGCGGCCCCAGATGGCCTGCTGCCTACAGCCGAGGTTAGGCACTTTTTGTGCAAGAAATAAACGCCGTTTTACAAAACGTATGAATCTCAGATTCACTTTTCAGCAACGTTGTCTACATTGATTTTCACGTACAATAGCGTAGCTCTAACAAATAACATAGCAACAGAATCAGTGTTTTGGCAGAGACGCCGCTGCAAGCAGCGCAGGTCCACTAGAGGGCCCAGGGCCGTGCCAGGGAGAGCTGCAGGGAGCAGCAGAAGGGAGTTGCAGTTAATGCCAGAAAAACAGCAGTAGCAAATTTTACCCATCCCCTCCCCAGTGAAAGGAATGTATCATTAGAAGCCAAAAAAGAAATCTATATTAAGATACCGCTAATGTTCTAACAAAGTGACACAAACAAGTCACACCGCTAACAACTCACCTTCTTCCTACTCTAGGTATTTATAGCAATCTCTGAAATTTTACTGATATACCACGTTCTATTAATTCCGCTATTCTTCTCCCCTTCCTTTCCCCTTCCCCCTCCCCAAAAGAGAGAAAAAAAAAAAAAAAAGAAAGAAAAAAAAAAGTAGGATAAACAAGGAACAAAGCGAAACCTTTAAAATAGAATTTCCTCTCCCCACCATTTATGTAAGTTAGAGACTTAGGACTGTGCTGATGAAGCCAACCAGCAGCCATCCTGCACACGGCAGGGCACCTCACGCTGACTCTCTGCGTGTGCTGAATCATGGCGACTGATTTTACAGGAGTCAGTGACATGGTCGCATGTTACAAAGCAGGAACAAGCCTTTCATCATGAGAGTCCCTTAAATAGAAAGTTGTTAATAAACAAACTAAGTTAAAAATCAATTGACCCATAATTAAGTGACCTTAGAATAAAATGCGCCATTGCAGTATTTGAGCAGCACAGAACAAGTAAATATCTCTAAAAGAAAAAGCAAAGTCTTCTATGACAGAAACCAATTTGATATGGAAATGGGTCAACAGTTGCTTAAGATGTAGCACAGTTTTGATTTGATCTGCTATATTTGGACTCTATATGAGGCGCTTCCAGTAACATCGGTATTGCTTATACATGAGACTTTTGCATAATCACTGTATGAAGCATTAGAATTCTGCAAATCGAGAATGATTTTCAAAACGACTATACATAACTATGTTAATAATGTGGATACAACAGTATTTGCTGGAGAAAAAGAACAACTGTTTTCTCAAACAATTAGGATTCATGATACATTGCTTGGCAGACTATTGTTCAAAAGCCCACACAGTCCTCACCCAAGAGAAGCCCAAACGCATCCATGAGCACCAACTTATGCATAAAACTGAGCTCAGAATACACGCTGATCAAACAAGGAAAAAATATAAAAATAATCAGACATACCAGATAAGTTTATTTTACAAAAGAAATCCTGTATCTGTAGCAAACAGGTTTTTACATTGTTGCTTTTCAGAAAGGATCACAGTTGGAGTTGTTCTTGTCTTAAAATGGAATCTGGTTGTTTTCCTAAGATTTTTCTTCCAAGGATATGATATAACCATTTACTTCCATGTACCTCAGTTGCTCCCTTTCCAGTTCACCTTGTTTTTCCTATGAAGACCCTAGTAAACCTTTTATCACAATACAGATTTCAATCTAATTTCACTCCTGAAAACTATGAAAGATGATTTCACTAAGCTTACCACCATGTTAGGGAACTTTCTCCATCCAGTAGTGGTATCTGCTTCTCTCTGGTTGGTTGACCTTTGCTCACGTATCAATACTGTCGTATTTTTTCTTTGTCCTTGTGTTCCATTGTCTGACCTTGGAAATAAGAACACAAGTATGGAATCATTTCCTCTAATTAAGATAAGCATGCACATCCTAAAAGCCAACTGCAGGCATTAAGGATCAGCTACTGACTCCTAAAGAGCAATCATATATGGTAATGCAACCTTGGATGAGGTCATGGTAGTCTCTGAAAGCTAGAGCCGTTATTAGCTGCTGGGTACAGGCAACCTTTAAAAAAGGCCTGTCCCCATTTTTGTTTTTGTTAATCTCTGTATGCTGCCTACCATCGAAAGAGGATACATTTAAATCATACTTTCATAGGTCATAATGTTATCATATTATTCCTGCAGAGACATAGAAGAATTATCATAGCCATAGTAAAACTGAAATCCAGGAATGTGAGAGTGCTAGGTCTTCACACAGAAAACAAAATGAGACAAAAAATAACCAGTCTTGTCTATTTGTGATTAATAATAATGACTCTAAAATCAACACAAATGATGATTACAGGGGCTAACAACCTTTATGGAGCCCATGTGAATATCCATTCTGTTATGTATCTTATACACCAACAAATATGATATTCTGAGAACAAATATCTCTGCAATACATATCTCCAAAAGGGTACACCCTGTTCAATCCAAGAGCATTTTAACCTAACAATTGCTATAGCATATTGCAATTATTAGACTAACTGCTATTAGTGAAAACCAAACTACTCAGTCCTATGTCTGTCTCTGTAACAGATGTCATACATAATGTTTAACAAGTAGTTCATGTCTCTTGATACCATTTTACCACTTGTAAAATAAGAATGCTTTTAGATCATTGAATGGTAGACGTTATAGAAGTAGAAAGCACTGACTATTATTTGTTGTATTATTATTATTTAATGTAACATATGGATGCAAAATTCTGGCTTGTTTGACCAGGAAGACAGCCCTATATGTTTAAAATTAAATTAGCATAGAAAAAAATTAAGCAAACAGACTATCTCAAATAGGAAATGAAATAAACAGTATGGAGCTCTTTAAATACATAACAAGTAATCAGCGAAAGGGCTGCGAACGGAACCTGAGTGGGAAGCTTGTGACCAGTGAGGCTGATATTGCTGGAAGCCTGAATGAAAGTTAAAAGGCTCCATGACTAGGCCAGACTATACAGGCAATTAGAACTGCTGAACGCTGCCAAGGCATCAGGCCAACAAGAATTACAACTCAACAAACTGAATGAAGGAGAAGGCGGGGTGGGGGGAGGAATAAAAAAAAAATAAAAATAAAAAAAAGGAAAGGCTTTAATTAAATATTTGAGATCTCACAAGGGATGGGGAAAGTGCCAGGTAACTGGAAGATGGTTAACTAAACTGAGGGGGTCTGTTCCCTCATTAATGCGTGGGGGAATTTACAAGTGTAACTTCTACTACCATTAATTGGAGCTACAGTAAATGAGCGATTTCCATGTGCACTGGTGGGGAAAGGCTCCTGTTACCTAGGATTGGTCTTACCTGTTAAGTGTTTATTGAAGAGTTACAGAGTGATTTCTGGATGTGAATGAAAAGGGGTCACTAAGATGGAACCTCCTGAAATAATAGTCTGTACTCCTTTAAATACAGGGTGATCCCAGAATAAAGCAGTATTTTCATAAGAACTTTTCTTAGCAGCATTTCTTCAGAATTGTGCAAACATTTACTTTTCCTTGCCCTGCACCTCAGACATCCCAAAATAACCATGGGGGACGTGTCAGGTTCAAAGTGGATGAAATAACTGCACTTCTGCAGCTCCTTGTCAGAAGGTTCACCAGTTGGGATGATTTTATTGTGCATGTGCAGAAATGAGACAGTGAAATGAAGCCAGCAGGTCACTCACCCGCAAAGAAGCGGTCAGAATGAGCAGAACAGAAGTACTTGTGAAAGAACCTAACGTTGGCGAGGGTAAGGGAAGAGCTGCAAGTGTACCATGTCACTGGACCCAATTAGAAACTCCACAGATGAAATTATGTCAGATAAGCATACACACATTTATATACAGCTCCAAATTCTACAGTTTTCAGAACATCTATATCTTCAGAATTCACATGTAGAATTTTACATACACATTAGTTATAATACACCATTTTGTCATCCACTGTTCCTCCATTAACTCTGAAATCTGCTTCAGAACAGAATATCTAAAATTTCATTGTTCCTGTAACACCACAAACAAGTCAAGAGTTACTCAGAGAGGCAAAACAGATTGTTGTTTTGTTTTGTTTTACTTTCAGATAAATTTTGCAATATGTAAAATACTCCATATTTCTAGAACCCATGAATACAAACCTGAAATAATAGTTTTAGTATCTCTTTCAGGTATATAAAATTGAGAATTTAGGGCCAGGAGGCTTCTATCAGAGTTCCATGTGAGTTACTGGATCAGTAGTTCTACCTAGAAAGTAGAAAATATTAGAGTTTCAGAGTATGGCCCTTAAAATTAAAATATATATATATATATTATATTATATATATATATATATATATATATATATATATATATATATATATATATATATAAAGAAATGCTATGAGCCTTCACAGGCTTTAGGCCACATAATTTATTATTTTTTTTAAATTCAAATTGCCCTCCCTTGCCTCAGAATTCGATCTCTCACATGAAACATGTCTATATGAGAACTAGATTTTAAAAGACTGTATCCTCAACTTTTACTAATGCCTTAAGAGAAAGGTGATCAGGTGGCCACCTCAGGAAGTCCAGCATATTTGAAACTCATAAACCAATTTGGACTTAGACTCTTATTTCATGAAAGGAATAATACTATATACCTTAAAGAGTATAGGAGAGCTTTACCACAATAAATTAAAATTATGAGAATAGTTAAAAGCAAATGAGATAATCATAAAAGCATTTACTGTTCTCGACACAAATCATTCAACACCATCACCATAGGATTACCTTACAAAAATAGTTGCCAAGAATGATTCTCTCTCTTGTTTACCCTCATGAAAATCCAAACACCTGTAAAGGACAGAACAGACATCTGCATTTTCTATGAAAGCAAACTTACTTCATAAATATGTCCTTTAGGGCCAGAACAGCCAAATTTTAGACAGGAATAATACAGGTATCATTTTTACATAGAATTTTAACACTGACATGAAAGCAAAAGTCAATTATTACTAACCAAGCCTGTTAATTTTCTCAAGATGAAGATGGAAAAAAAAATGGAGAATTTTCACATTAAGGTGGTGGGCTATATTGTAGCTTAATTTATAATTTCCAGGCGTATAAGGCAAGCATAGACAGACCATATGTCTTTTCTTGGCCTTTAAATGCTCCTATTTTCCACTAGACTTGCCTTTTTCTCCATCTATTGGCAGCCATACCATTTGCTATTCAGGTGATTGGCTGTAATGAGCCAACTCCTGTTTCCGTATGAATAACCACTTTTTTCCCCAATTACTTAAGCTGCCAGCAAGTCACTGGTGTCATGTTCTTTGATGCAAATCTGACTGTCAATAAAGAACAGGACTACATAAAGAGAGAATTTATGATGATACCCTTAGATTAATATTTTTCTTAAATGCTACTCAGTTTAACTTCCAGGAAATATAGGGAAGAAGGCAATGGTCCACAGTAAGAAGAAAGAATATCTTTAATTGGCTTTGTGCTCCACATGCCCTTGTAATAAGTCTTTCCATATGGTAGTCTGAAATAAATTTATCAATCTCCATTAATGTATTTGTCACTTTAAAAAGGTCCATTTTAGTCAATACCAAAATCTATAAAAGTGAAAAATCACATTTCATTTTACAATTTTAAAAGCTAGAATACTGAATATATAGTTTGATATTTACAATTTTTGGAAATATGCAGACACACATAAAAGCGTGGGAGGGGGGAAGCTTCTGAGGCCAAGGAGCACCAGTTATTAACAATATGAGAACTAAATATGTAATTTTAACTCACTTTTTTGAAAGGTCAGTTTTTTAATTAATCTTTCTTAAGTGGGCTTAGATATTTTTCACTAAAAAGAAAATATTATTTTAAGCCATCATACAACTTAGATTTTTCAAGCCAGAAGAACTTATTCCCCCCAAGTAAGTATGATCATGGTGTAAGGGACAGACTCCTACCTGGTGCTGGCATTCCTAGTTGCAAGCACCAACCACGTATGGCAGCAAATACTTTGAGAACAACGTATTTTGAGAAAATAATGTTATAGTGAAATTCTAATACGATACAAAAAAAAAAAAAAAAAAGCTACCCAGTATTCAAGGCCTAGCCCACAAACTACCTACCTTCAAAGTTGTACCATTTCAAGAAACCTCTACAGATTGCTATCAAGCAGATTTTCCAAGTGTCATCCATTTGTTCCAAGTGATTCCAATGAGAAGCCATTTTAAATCTTTAAACAATTTCTTCAACATCCACTTCAGCCATACAGTTATCAGCAGCCAATCTAAAGAGAACGATATTTTCACTACATATTACAAAGTGCTGTTGGCTCTACAAAACTCAGATTCGGTTCTGCATGTTCCAGGTGCTCTCAGCTGGGACTTTACCTATGAACTAATTAGCTACTGTAGGAAGATCTCTTATATCAGCAGGTGTCCTAAACAGCTACTGCTCTTTTGTTGAAAGGGTTTGTGGGTTGATTCTTTTCATTAAAAACAAAATAATAAATTATTGTTTACATAAGGTTGACAGCACTTTTTCACAGAGCTGAGACAGAACAGGCAGCCAGCAAAGGGAAGACAGGTGAAAAACAAAATTTAACAGTCTGCTAACAATTAAATCATCTTTGATTGTGCTGATTTACAAACAAGAAAGGCCCCGTCTAATCTCCATAAGGGAAAAGGAAGAGAAAAAAGATGCTAAACCTGAAATTCATTAGTGAAATGCATTTAGTGTCTAAATTAAACAAATAAGTACTGTTAATTTCAGTGTGCTTAATTAGCCTGTAAAAGAATACAAACATATGTTTTAAGATTAAAAATGCAGTTTCATGGCATTTTTATTATTATCACTATTTGCTCCCCACATACTGAAATAGCACATAACTAAAAACTAAAACTAAAAAATGAATTTATTTATTCATTAACTTCAATATAGAAATTAACCAGAATTTATACAAATTATTTCATACACAGCTTTTTTCAACAATGCATTTTAAACAGGTGTTTTAAGACCATTGCCCAGTGGTTCTTCTTCTAAACATGAACCTTTAAAATCTATACTCAAGGAAAACTGGCTGCTACAAACATTAAGGGAGCACTGCTGATCAGGTACCAGGTCACAGGCTTTTTTTTTTTTTTTTTTTTTTTTTTTAAACAGACTAGAAGGAGCAAATAGACACCTGACTGGATTTACAAAAGTTAAGACACCTGCCTTCTCCTCAGTTGCTTTCAACTCCCCTAATAAATACTAATAGACTAATACAAGCCACAGACTAGCTGGAGCCTACATTTGAAATCTGCTCTCAAACCTCATTTGCAGATTGGCCAGATGGTAATTAGTGTGGAGGTGTTCTCCAGGCAGACTCGCTTTCAGGGCAGGGTTTTTTAAATTTTATTGGGGTTGGGGGAGGAGAAAAAGAAGTCTTTTTTTTTTTCCCAGTTAAGATTAGTAACAGCTAGGAAAGGGTGCATAAAAGCCAAGCTACAACAGAATATTCTCTAGTTTGTTATATTTAAGAAAGTGCTTGCAACTTAATCCAGGGAGACCAATAAACAGAAGACTAAAATAAAAAGGCAGAAGGCTGCAGTGTCAAAGTGCTGTTAAAGTACATGAGAAAAGCAATCCACTTGGGGTTCATTGTAACACTTCTAATAATGAGCTTCCCATATTTAGACACAAGAGATAGCAAATTCAAACCCCCTGGAAAGGATGCAATACAGTTATACAACAACATAGCAAACTGTATTTGTTTTGTTATTACTACCTATGCACCCTATGGTTTCTTTAGGGAAGATGATATGATATCTTTATACCGTGGTGTGTAAAATAGCCTGAAATCTTTCTTTAACACCACTAACGTAACAAAATCCTCCCCGAATAGTGAAAGACCTCCACTTGAAGCTAAGCTTGATCTTAAACATCACTAAAAAAATAATATGTTTTGTTACTGCATTTCTCTGAGAGGTTTTCAAAATCATTCCAGTCAGTACATGAGATAGGATACATATTGTCGGGGATAAGTTGTTAAAGTGAATTTGAAATGTGCTTCTCAAAATATCGTTTACACATTTACCAGATGGTAAAATAAACATGTAAATTGTTATCGAGTATACACCAACTTTATACTACAATTTTACCCACTGTAGAAATGGTGTAAAAATGCTGAATATAGTGTTACTTGTTCATTTAATAGTTTATTAACATTTTAAATACTTTTGGAGAATAGGTTTACTTTTGAAGTCAAAAAATACTTACTTAAGCAGCGTTTTAATCCATCAATCAGGTCAAACTAATCTACTTGCTTCTACATTCAGCACTTTAATCAGTGGTATGATTATCATAAATACAGTTCATTTCAAAGTATTTGCCTATAAATAGATGTTACGTGTATTTATTAGAAATTGGTTTTAAAAGACTAATTTAGGTGCACAGAGTGTTGCAAAGGTAATTTTTGGAAGTGCAATTATCAATATCTCAGTTAAAGGTAGCTGCTATTAGACCACCAGGTCACCTTGCCACTGGAATCTACTCTTCCATAAGTCATTGAACACATTCAGAAATTTGACCATGAATATTTTACTTTTGACAAAATAGAAGGCATGTGATAATGAACCTCTGTATCCTAAGAGCCTAATGTACACACTAGGTAGAAATACACTGGAATTAAAATCTTCCCACTCAACTAACCCTTGATTTTCCCTAAAATAAAAGGTCCTATACATATGATCATTTATTAATGGTCCTGGTGGAAGACATCAGCCGAAGTATTCTGATGAAAGCTTGTTGCTTGTGCTACCAGTAAGTGGTGCCTGGTGTGTCTTCTCTACCAACCCTGTACATTAGTTATACTGTGCTATGGAATTTTCTTTCCCACCTTTCAGGCTATACCTGTTTGGGTTTTTTTGTTTGTTTATTTTTAATATATATTTTTTATTTTTTAGAAAAAGGGGGGAGGGGGGAAGAAATAAATTCATTCTTCTGCAGTCTTAAGTTTAGGAACTTTCCTCATCTATGAGGAAATATATCCACTCAGCACATTTTATTTTTAGTCTATGTACCCAACAGACTCTGAACTGCTCTTTAGTAATGAGTATTTCAGCTAGTCTGCACACTCTTTAAAATATCCAAGGTCTTTTTTTCATCAATCCACAGCGAAGTCTTGGATTCTCACCTGAGATCTGCTTGAATTATTTTTTTCAGAGGCTTTTTACAGCATCCAGATTCAACATCATACCAGTTAAGCTCCTGTTTACTATAATGTTGCTGCTTTACTATTATATGCCCTTGGCAATAAGGGGTTACAACATAGATACAAGTAATACATGACGATTCTCAAAAGTACTGGCACAGACTTACCTTAAAAGTTAGTGAATTTTGGAGAAGCTTCTATATCCAACAAATGCGCCGTATTAGTAGGTGCCACAACATAAAATACTACAAACCAAAATTATCATTAAAGAATATTCTCCCATATAGAGAGCTAGCACAAAGGTAGTAGATAGCAAGGTTTAGCAAGCCTGTCTAGTTTCTCTAGCTTGTGGTTTAAGACTCAAAAGTCCTACTGACAAACCAAGTGCCAGAAGCTGCACCACACTGGATGCTTCATCACGGCTCCAGCAGAATCTTTTAGGGAAAAATAAAAAAACAACAATTTGCATGTGAGCACTTCTAAAGCACCATTTGGAATTTGCTGCTTTGCCAGCCTACCATTTAGATTACACTGCAGCTGAAGCATTTTACAAAAAAAGACACAGGAATACTTGATGATGCTAAAGAGATTACAATAATGAGGTTTTCATATGGAAATAACTAATCATGTAATTTAATTAAATAATGTCCCCCCAAAAAAAATAAATATATAAATAAATAAGTTTTTGTAAAGGGTTGGTTTAGAACTCATTAAGGAAAAACAAAATTTCAAACTTAAAGAAGTAACCTAAATGGAATGGGGAGAAATGGAATAATGAATGCAGATGGGAGGTGTCCAACAGCACACCTGCAGTTGCCAGCATACCTCTATACATAAATCAAAACAGATGTTGGGAAGCACAGGAGTCTGACTACCAAAATCCCTAGCACATTGGGAGTCATGTATTGGCTTCAGTGTATAAACAACTGCTATAGACTAAAACACTGAGCACGAGAGGGAACTGGTGAAGAAAGCACTGTCTTCAGAGTCTGTGCCACGAAGCACCAACCACCTCTGCCAGCTAACTTCAAAGCAGAGCCTGAGCCAACACTCCTATAAAGGCAGGGCGATCACTGGAAACTTGAAGCATATGCTGCTATTTACATAACTAATTGTAGCATGCACAGTCAAAAAACAGCCTCTAGCTTTAGCATATATGTGCAAAATAATTGATTGTACTGTATACAGAAAATTAGAAGCTGTCAGAAACAAAGCCACTAGTAACAGCCCTGAGAATCTAGAGGAGGCATCTCCTAGATTGCAGAGGCTATTCTTCACACAGCTGTGTGATTTACAGCAGGATATAAATCTAGGTGAGATTCAATGATAGCTGACACCCCATCCAAGCTTTCAGCCCAACTGACGTACACACCCCATGATCTGATGGTGGAGATGCTCAATAAAAATCTTCCCAGACTCTGACCAGCTGTGATTTGTCACTGCAATCATTATAATACAAGATAAAATTTTGTAAAAGATATTGCAAATATAACAACAATGCTCATCTGTCTGCACAACACATACCCAGCCTTGCAGAATAAAATGAAGAAAAATGTAAAGACATAGAATAAAACGCCAGCTGAGTTGCACCTAAGCCTCCGATGAAAAATAGGAGGACACCAAGACGTGGAAAAATACAAAAGATGCACTAAAGCTGCATTATACTGGCAGCTTCTCAGTGGGAAAATAAATAAATAAAATGGAGAAAAAAAAATAAGAATAAAAAGGTTTCTCAGGCAAAACAGAATGTTTGCGTAACCCAGAAAAGAAAATGCACATTGCTTCTAGAATATTCTGCTACTATTCAGAAATAACATTATTAGAAAATGACATTCAATAAGATCTACATTGGATAAATATGACATGTATTCTTTCAATTACAGAATAGACTAGAATTTCTTGAAATGTTTAATATTTTTATATTAAAAATGATTAAGATAGATTATTAAGATATCCTCTGGCTAGTAATTTTTTGGAAAATTATATTAAAATGTAAAAATAAATAAGCTGTAAAGAATCAAGCTCAGATCAGCAGTGGCCCTATAAATTGCAGTACAGCACCCACAAAACTAGTTCATCTGTTACTTGCCAAT